AAGGAAAATAATCGATGTAATTGAATGCAATACAGTGCTCTACTTCATAATCTTTTTGTCTAGCCTACTCCTTTTCAACTGTTTATTCAAATTTATGGGTACCTCTTCCTTGCTGCTCTCTAGAGGAATTTCTCTTGTGCCTAAACTATAATACCTGGAAACTGAATTTTTTCAGTATTAATGAAATACTATGGCGTATCTTTTGAGACTAATCGGCTTCTCCATCATATAAATGGTTGAATTTGTTTTCAGATTTTTAGCAAAACTACGGCTAGTTCGTGGTCACACATAAAACTGCATGATGCCAGACATCACAAAACCCATAATTTTTCTCTCAGATAATTTTTCAGCACATAGTAACAGACTTTCTGCAGCTCGTAATGAATCGTCGGACAAAGGGAAAGTACCCATTTCTAATATTTTTTCAACATGTTTCCGAAATATATCGAAAGTTGTTTTCTTTGTAATTCTACAGATGTATGATGTTATTTCACTGCCAGATAGAGCATGTAACGGTAATGATATTTCGATTGAAATTAGATATTTAGTAAAAAATTCTTTATTTATCTCAGAAACATTGAGAATTTGACTTCTTCTTCTTTATTTCTTGTATCGGATGTAACATCAACCCAGACTTAAGTACCGATACTATTCATTAATGCAATACCAAGTATAACAACATCCTGGATGGTGATCAAAATTGAATTATTGTCAGATTCAGAGACTAGCAATCGTTTACCCGATAGGACCATATAATTTAACTTACACTATAGCTGGAGCATAAATGGGTCAAGGATAAATTAAAATTAAGAATGTAAATAAAATTGCACTACAAGATTCCACGTTGAAAGAGCTACTTCAGGTAAAGAAGAGATAGGAAAAGTTTTCTAAGTAGAAAAACTAGAGATTTCTAATGCAAAATCTTAGAAAACTATTTTTAAGTATATGTTTAGAGAGCCGAGAGCGATCTTATCCTGCACAGGACGCTTTTACTCAATATTTTCGTATATTTAACTCAAATAAATTTTTTGATATAAACTGAAGGGTACTCGTAATTCTACATTGATTCGGCATGCATCACATCTAATCAAAACGTATTTGCTTATAGAAACCAAAAGAAAATTGTTTGCCAAAGCGAAGGACCATTGAAGGGATCCACAAGAACATTGAAAATTTTTAGAATATACAGTTTGATGTTCAGCTAGACTTCAGAAAAGTCTAATAAAACCTCTGACTGACCTGTCCAAGACATGCTGCTATAGCATCTTCATACAAATCGATAAATTCTTGCCACTTCTTAATTGTTTTGCTCCAACAATTTTTTGGTGTGGTTGAATTACGGCTTTAATGACATTTTTTGATGATGATGTTTGTTAAATGTAATCTTTTAATTCAGTGGTGGCGTGTGAGTTCAACACAATATCAATTTGTTCTATTATATCAAACCACTCAATGATAGCTGGCATTGTTTCTACTGCATATTCTTCATATGTTGCTGCCTTCATTGGTGAAACGTTTAAATACATCACTAAAAAATAAAACGCCAATAAATCACTACCGCTAATTAACAAATGTACTGGGCATTGTAGTGAAAATTTATCACGTACAACATGTTCTGAAAATAAGTTTTCAAATATGACACAATTGAATATCTCTCTTATGGATGGTATTAGGTTGGCAAGGAAGTTTTTGCATTTTTTCCAAAGATTTTCATTTTATTTTTCAGCTTTAAGAAAACAACTAGCTTTGAACAATGTACGTTTCCTCTAATCCAGGATCAACGCCCATATCCATAGCTTTGTTGTTGTTTGGAAGATATTCGTACCCTCTTCATATACCCTTCGTATGGGAAATTCCAGAATATTCTCGAATGCTTTAGAAAATCTTAAAAAAACGCAAAAACTTTGTTGCCAACCTAAAAACATAGTACAGAGTCATGGAGACCACTTGGAGTAATTGCTAATGAGATTTTGATATTTGAAGTGCACAAGAAATAACTTGTATTCCCTAAATTACTGACATGCATTTTCAAATCTTTTTTCGTATCCTGAAAGACCAAAATACATCGAAAGTGAGTTGTAAGAGTAGCATTGTAGCTTACTTACTTTTACCATAAAATATGGTTTATTTTTTCCCGTACACAATGCATTGATAGCCGCAAAATCAATATCACTTTGCTAAAATGGGAACCGTGCAAAAATCGGTGGTATCCTGCATTAATATACTATTAAACATACTTTACTGATCCTTTTTTGGCAGTTCCAGTTTTGGAAATAAGCTTGTCTAAGAGTGTGCAAAAATTTTGTCGATGCTTGTCATTGGGTTGACTTGTCAACATAGAAAAAACTCCAACAGAATCTATAAAAAACGGAATGCTAACTTTTGCAGAGGCCGTTCGTTTATTTTTATGTTAGATTCAATAGGTCTAACTCATGACGTCATGAAATATCTATTTCAATAGGTCTCCATTGCTACAGTACCGAAATAGTTTGTTAGCTTCACTTACGACTTCTTCAGCTAATAATTCTCAATAAAGTATAACTTCCCTAGTCCACTTTTCCTAGAAACATCCCTGGGGAGTCACGCCAGATAATGGAATCTCTGGGGAGTCTCGAAGAAGTCAAGCGAAAAATTGGAAATCCCTCGGGAAATTGGAAATTGGGGGGGGGGGGGGGGGGGGGGGGGGGGGGGGGGGGGGGGGGGGGGGGGGGGGGGGGGGGGGGGGGGGGGGGGGGGGGGGGGGGGGGGGGGGGGGGGGGGGGGGGG